TTCCCTAATTTCTCTCTCAGTGAGTCTGTTATTTGTTTACAAGAAGACTATTGATTTTTGGGTGTTCACCTTGTATCTGGCTACTCTACTGAATCTGTCAATTAAGTCTAGAAGTCTTTTGGTGAAATTTTTTGCGACTTCAATGTAGAATATCATATCATCAGCAAATAATGACAGTTTAACTTCTTCCTTTGTTTGTTTTTTTGTTTTTGGTACCGGGGATTGAACTCAGGTCTTTGTGCTTGCAAGTCAGGCCACCAAACCGCTGAGCTAAATCCCCGGCCCCTAACTTCTTCCTTTCTTTATAATTTCCTCTCATGTTCAGGCTTTGGGTTTTTCTTGCTCTTGTTTTTCTAGGAGTCTAAGATTCATCATTAGGTTGTTTATTTGACCTCTCTCTGTTTTCCTAGTGTGGGCATTCAGTGCTATGAATTTTCCACGTAGAACTGCTTTCATTGTGTCCCATAGATTCCTGTATGTTGTATTGGCATTTTCATTTATTTATAAAAATTGTCTGATTTCTTCCTTAATTTCCTCTGTGATCCATTGATTGTTCAGGAGAGTGTTCAACTTCCATGTGTTTGTGACATTCCTATGGTTTCTTGTGCTATTGATCTCCAGCTTGATTGCACTATGATCTGATAATATACAGGGAATAACTTTGATTCTTTTGCATTTACTCAAACCTGTTCTGTGAGCTAGTATGTGGTCTATCTTGGAGAATGACCCATGTGCAGCCAAAAAGAATGTATATTCTGATTGCATGGGGTGGAACACTCTATAGACGTCTATTGTGATGGTAGGGTATTTAGATTCCCCACGACAATTGTATTAGTACTTATTTGGTTTTTCGTGTTACTTAATATTTGTTTTATATAGTTGGGGCATTAATATTTGGTGCATATATGTTTATGATTGTCATCTCTTCCTCTTGAATTGTTCCCTTTACAAGAATGCAGTGGCCTTCTTTGTCTCTCTTAATCAGTTTTGGTTTGAAATTTCCTTTGTCTGCGAATAAGATTGCTATCCTGCTTTTTTCTGGGCTCCTGTCATGTGGAGAATTGTTTTCCATCCTTTCACTTTCAGTCAATAGGCTTCTTTTCACACTAGGTGTGTTTCTTGTATACAACATATTGTTGGATTTTGCTTCTTAATCCATTCTGCCAGTCTATCACTCTTGATTGGTGAATTGAGGCCATTGACATTACTGGTTATAACTGATATATACTGACTTATTATTGTCATGTTATTGTCTTTTTGTTGACTGTTTTTAATTTTTGGCCCTCTCCTTTTAGTTTCTTGCCTTGCCTATCTGATTTGGTCTGTTGGGCCTTATGGTGTTGTGACCTTCATTGTCTTTTTCTAGGATATTGTTTAGAATTCCTTGTAGTACTGGTTTGTTGTTCATGATGTTTCTCAGGTGTTTTTTGTCATGGAAATCTCTTATTTCCCCATTCATTTTGAAAGAGAGTTTTGCAGGATACATTAGTCTAGATTGGAGGTTGTTTGCTTTAAGGACTTAAAATACCTCATTCCAGGCTCTCCTTGACCTAAGGGTTTGTGTTGAAAGTCTGCTGTCATTCTGATGGGCTTTCCGTTGCATGTGATTTGTTTCTTTTCTCTTACTGCTTGTAGTATTTTGTTCTTCTGTTGGATTTCTGGGATCTTGATTATTATGTGTGTAGGTGCGAATTTTTTTGATCGTGCCTAGTTGGAGTCCTATATGTCTCAGTTATCTGTATGTCTAATTCTTCCCTTCTGTTTGGGAAGTTTTCTGACATTAACTCTGTGCACAGCTTTTTTAAGTCATTTGTATTTTCTCCTGCCATTTCCTGGATTACTATCAGTCTTATGTTATTCTTCTTTGCATCATCTAGGAGTTGTTGGATCAATTTCTCATAATCCCATTCTGTTTTTAAGAGACCTCTCTTTTCATGGTCACTGACTGCAACCCTATCTTTTATATCTGAAATTCTATCTTCAAAATCTTTATTCTGTTGCTTATACTTTCAATAGAGTTTTTAATCTCCTGGATATCGGTTTGAATCTGTTTTGTGTATTCCATTTCTTTCATATGTTGGGCATTCATTGTTTCCATTTCTTTCTTATGCTGGGTCTTCGTGGCTTCTATCATGGTCCTGAGCTCATCTATTTTTTTCTCAGTTTCTGCTCTAGAGTCTCAAATCATGACTTCCATTTTGCTCACTATCTCTATGGTTATCTGTGAAATTATTTCTGTTCTGAATTTTTCTAGAGCCTGATTGATCTGTTTGTTACTTCCTGTGCTATGGGTTCAGGGTGTTCTGCTGTTTCACTATCAGACTTTTAATCCTCATCTGCCCTGCTGTTTGCCATTGGTGAACTGGAAGTCTGTCTTTGTGTCTTGCTTAAGTGTTTTCTCATTTTTATTTTTGTTGTCAGGTTGTCCTTGGTTTAATTTCTGGGCTACTACCAAAATCTTCCTGATATAGTTGCACCCTATCTTTTGAGTCTCTAATGACTCATAGACATTCTCATTTTCATAATATCAGAGAAAACAACTCATTAAATCAATCACAATCCTTTATCCCAATTGATACAATCAGCAGCACAATAGGATTAAGCACAGCTTGAAAATTGACCACTTAATCTAGCACCTTTAAGCCATGTGAATTAAATTAAAATTAAGAAGTAGCCCAAAATATGTTTGCAGTGAATACACTTTTCAACATAGCATCTTTACCATTTAGGATGGGGGCTTAGACAGAGTTAGGATGAGAGGAGTAGATAAGTGAAAGAACTGGAGAAGATTTCAAGTGAAGCCAGAGGATATAGAATGACCATACAATCTTTACAAAACTATTAAATTCAAAAGGGATAGACAGAGTGCAAGAATAAGGACAAGAATATATCCCCTTAACAGTAATAGGGGCTCACTTTCCCTTGATAATACTGACCCATGAGTGAGGTAAAGTGACAGAAGAAGAGAACATAAAGAAAAAAGAAAAAATGATAAAAGAAGAAGTCTGAGTTAGGGCAGTATCAGGAACAGAAAGGGACAAAAGGGATAGTATGGTGGAGCATGAGACTGAGTTGGAGAAAGAGGACAGAAAAAAGAAAGAATTTGCAGAGTGGAATGAGGAAAAGAAAGAAAAAAATGAATTTTAAAGGCCTCCTTCAGACCATATCTCTGCTGTCATAACATACCACATGCACAGCCATGTGCAGACCCAAGGCCCCGTATCTCAGATAGCCAATGGCAGATCCCCATGACTCAGACTGACCTCAGGCCACAAGGCCCAAATTGAGTTCCCCGACCTGTAGGGTTGAACTCCACACAGTTCCATTACAGATTTCCCCCACCCTTTCCTTAAAGATGTTCAAAGTTGGGAGCTCAAAAAAACACCCTTTATGGCCACCTATGCCTCCGTAGAGTGGGTCCAAGTACTATCCCAATCAGGAGGTCTGAGAAGGGGGTGCAGGGGGTGGTCTCAGAGGCGCAGTTACCTTCCTTGCTAAATCTGGTGGTGGAGCAGGCAGGGGAGGGCGCAGCTACCTGGTCCCACCAAATGGGCCCAAGCAGGCCGGTGGGAGAGCAGATCTCAGAGCTGCCTTCCAAATCTCGCCTTCCTTGCTGGGGCTGGTGGTGCACCTCCACTATCCTGATTTTCATTCCTGTTGATATTATTACTCTTGGCTCATGTTTATGGCATATATTGTTTACATTCATTGAGGTGGTTAGGCTCCTGTATGGGCATGTCTTTATCTTTAAAATTCTCTAGATTAGAAAGTAGAATAAAATGATTAAGCTTCACTTCAAAGCTCAAGAAACTATATGTTATGTGGAAATTTAATAAATTGAACATGAGTTTTTAAAATACATTTCTTGGATAATCTTCAGCATCCAAAAGCCACCTGCTGTGATTCATATCCATGTCCATGTGTTAGAGACTTGGCCACCAGCTCATGGTGCCACTGGAGGTGGTAGAAAAGGGAGTCAGTGGGACTCCGGCTCCTTCCTCTCTATGTTTTGCTTCCCAGCTATCTTGAGAATTGCTTTCCTCTACCATGGGTTCCCTGCCTTGCCATAATCCCAACAGCAATGAGGCCCTCAGTCATGAATTGAGAGCTTCAAAAATGTGAGCCAAAATACCTTTCTTTCTTTATAGGTGAGTTGTCTCAGACAAAAGTCTGACCAACACACCATTCTTAGGAACACAGAAAACTCCCTCAGACAAGACCACCACCACAGCTTCAGGGGTTTATTCAATGAGCATTGCTTCCACAGAGCAGTTTGGGCTGATGAGAGACTAACATTCCCTGAACATCATTCATTGCATAGCCTCTCTTTTTCAGAAATCTCTGCTTCGTTCTCTGTGATGGAAACAGAGAAAAAATCTAAAAGATGAGATCTTTCTGATTTGGCTTAAATCACTGTTTTGTAAGTTTCTTATTCACTGCCAAGATTCCATTTCTTTTTAGCCAGGAAGTCATTTTAACAAATGACCACCACCTTAAATTAAGTTTTGCCTCTAAATTACTTAATTTAATGCTATATTCAATTAGCACTGACAAGGTTTTTGCTAAGTCCTAGTAGTTTAAAAACCTGTTTCATCTAGCCTATTTTATGATGAAAAACACTCTTATTCTTTTTATATAGATATTTAAAACACAGTTTAAATAAAATATAGTTTTATTATGATGACCATGAGGAATTCCAAGATTTACATAATGTAATCCTGAGAATGGCTTCTAAGATTTATTAGAAACTATGGCTGCAAATACTGACTACTTACATGAAAATACATTCTCTCCTTCCTTATTAATGTGAGAACCCCAGATTTTATGTAAATTCTTTGTTGACTGAATAAAATTCTGCATTTCCTATCTTTTTTTTTTTTTAAACAAGGTTTCACTATCTAGCTCAGGCTGGCCTTGAACTCACTACACCCAGCTGCCCTCAAACTCTCAGCAATCCTCCTGCCTCAGGCTCCTGAGTGCTGGGATTACAGGTGTGCACCACCATGCCTGGCTTTGTATCCTCCTTTTTAGCTATATGTGGCCATGTGATAAACCAATGAAATACAATCATAAGTTTTATGTAGATTTTAGGAATAGATGTATAAAGCAGATGCTGACTCAATGTGCTGAAGTCCCTTTTTTATCTTTCTATCTTTATCCCTTTTACTATTTTCCCACGTGGGTGTGAGGGCTGGCACAGCAGGAGCCAGCTAAGATCATGAAGTAACTTCGAGAGGGAAGCAATGAGTTAGCTTCACAGGCAGAAAGGAACAATTTTGCAGCTCTGATGACAGTTTGGAACCTATCTTCAGGCTTCTTTTATATGACTAATAAGTAAGCCTCCACCTTGTTTACATCGCATTTATTTGGGTTTCCATATGTGCAGTTGAACTTTATTCTAAATTATATATTTGTTTTAATATTTTAATAAGTATTACAAATGAGCACTCTTGCCCCAAGTCTCTTGAAAACAATAAATAGAGACTTGCTTTAAAATTATGTATCCAGGGCCAGAGATTTAGCTCAATGGTTCTGCCACTGGCCTTGCAAGCACAAAGACCTGAGTTTGATCCCCGGTACCAATAAATAAATAAATAAAAATAAAATTATGTATGCAGAGTTCATGCCAATTGTCATAAAATGATAATTATATAAACCTGCTATTAAACAATGGAATTATTAAGGAAAATGCCTTTAGTACCTAAAATAATTTGATTTTATGTAAAAAAAAGTTTTGAAAAGATGGTTGATGCATTAAATGAAAATAATAATAAAGCAGCTAAAATTTATTTCATACATTGCAGTAAACTATTTCATGCTCTCCTCTTAATATTCCTGTAAGACAACAATTGCAATTATTCTTGTATAAATGTGAAATCTGGCCCACAGAGAGGTTGGTAAAGTGTTACAGCTGGCAAGTGGATTGGAATTTGCCAATTTGATTGCAAATCCTACATGATACCCCACTAAGCAAATCTGAAGTTCATGAAGGTTTTTAATGTTATTCCTAAAATAAGATAACTAAAAAATACCAGAACTGAGATGAAAATTTAAGTCTTCTAATTCTACCATTTTCTGTTATATCAGGGTTGATGCCAATCATACAATTAATCATACTTTATTTTAGACTACTGATAACCTCTAGTAACATTAAAGGACAAGTAAAACACTTCCAGGCTGGGGATATAGCTCAGCAGCACAGCGCCTGCTTGGCAAGCACGAGGTCCTGAGTTCAATCCCCTCTCTGGTACCAAAAAAATAAAATAAAATAAATAAACCTTTCTAATAATTAAGCATTGTTCAAACATAACATTGATTATCTTTCAAAAGAAGTAATCAAGGTGGCATCCTTTCCTTGAATGGCAGAATTTCTGATTCAATAAGAACTATCCAAACACCTAAAAAGTTCAAATATAGGTAAATCTACATCTAGACTTGTATCTAGAACTATAAAAGTAAGATTACCTATTTTTTCTACAGATGAACAGACTTCTGTCCTTACTCTTTGTAGTCTCAAAAATATATTAAAAATTGCCTCATATTATATTTATATTTAATTTTTGAAGTCACTATTTGCTCTGAGAATTGAACAGGTCCTTATCACTCTCAGCCTAACCTCATTATCTCTATTAGCAACACGAGAATCTTTGTAAACCACAATATCAAGTAGCAGAGCCTACAGTGATTCCCTTTTCCTTTTGCACTCATTGCTCTTACTGCTGCCAGTTTGCAGGGTCCTCTGTAAGTTGGTTCCTGTGTACTTACTCACATTTTTTTCTTAGCATTTTTCAACTGACAGATTTCCTTTTGCCTTCTGCAGTCATTCTTAAGAACAAACCAGAGGAAGCCAAAATGGGATTGGGTTGGGTGTAGAATTAAATTAACAGTCCAAGGAAACTCTGAAGGGTGTTGCTGGCAACAGATTTCAGCTGTTTCAAGTGGAGATGTTTGGCTTCTGAGGCCCAGGAGGCAGGCTGGTGACCCAGTACCTGACACCCAGAAATAGGTGAAAAGCAGCTCCAATTCGGCTGGCTCAGATCAATTTTCAAGAGTTCAGCCAAGCTGAGTATGATGGCACAAGTCTAAGATCCCAGCACTGAGGGAGGCTGAGCTAGGAGAACTGCAAATTTGAGACCACTTGGGCAATTTAGTGAGACAATGTCTCAAAATAAAAATAAAAAGGGCTGGAGGTATAGCTCAGTGGGTCCAGTGTTGCTGGGTAATGAAAAGGGGGAAAAAAATCAAAATTCAGGGCAAATATAAACCAGACAGGGGAACACTGGCAGGGAAAAGGAGGTGCATGGCCTTTGCTCCTGCCCTCAGCACTGTTCCCTGAGCTCTTACAGGCAATGCTGCCAGCTTCCACTAACCTCATTTTACTTCCTTTATGTCTTCTCCTTAAAGTGTCTCCCCTCCCCTGGCTTCTTTACTTTTGGGTAAATACCTACATGGAATTCTGGATTAAGTATTGACTCTTTCCATTTGGTAGATTTCCTTGGAGTTCAAAGTTGGCACGAATCTACAGTGATAAATGATCTCTCTTTCCAGCAAATGTTCTTTCTGAGATTTTTGGGGGTCAGAGGAAAAACACAACATTATGATTTTCCAATAAATCTAGTAAACACTGCAATAAGTTATGAACCTCTGAGCAGAGGGATATATCATCCAAGAAACCCAAACACAGTTGGCAAATATTTCATATTTGAAAGCTATGGTTTATTTCAATTAATCAGGAAACCATCTTAAGTCTGGCATTCTTCCTAAATTGAAAGTCAGGAAATTACAAACTTGCATTTGATAATCATGTTTATCTCCTCTAGTGCTGTGCTCAATTTTTAATAAAAATTCTGAGGGTTTTCCTTCTCAATACTTGTTATTAGTCTACCTTGTTATTGCTACTTTTTCTTTCTGAAATAGCAAAAATGTTTTTAAAAATTAGATTTTTTTGAGAGTTTCATTTCCAATACATCTTTCTTGTCAACATAAAGAAAATAAACTATAATTCTATGTTTTTCTTTGCTGGTTTTCCTTTCCATATATCAGACTCACACTCTTTTTAAGATAAAAGCTATCGCGTGCAATAGAAACAAAAATATTTACTGTACATTTTTTGATACATTGCAAAAGAACATTATATAAGGACCTTTGAGGTATTTCAGATATAAATGTGAAAGCCCAGAAATGTTTTGGAGTACAATGAACATGTACAGATATAGATTACCTTTCCTACAGATTATGATATATAGTTATGGTTTGGTATTTATTTATGTAATTATGTGATTGATATCTATCATCCTGATGTGACAGAAATTCTATTAGGATCCAGATCCTGTGTGTTTCAGCTGGCCATCCAATCTCTAATACTCAGCTTAGTATCAAGAACATAGAAGGCACTCAATAAGTGGAATCAAATGCATGAAGAAAAATAATCTCTACTGATATATGAGAACCATGCTATGGGAAAAGAGGGAATTTTTGAGTGGGGTGGAAATGTTTACTATTTTGAATGTGATGATCGTCACAGATGTGCATATTGTATCTAAACTTAATTATAATTTAAACACGTGAAATTTATTTTATATCAGTTGGACCTCAATAAAGCTACCTTCTGAAGATGTCAGAATCCGTAGCAATGCCATTCTAATTGCACCATCCATAAGTTCCTGACACATTTACAATAACATTTTACGGGGAAAACAGCATTACTGGAATATTGTTGGCAACTTTTGGAAAAGATAGCACTTTGAATTAAGTACTAATTTTTCATTTCTTGGCTCTGGTACACAGGAAACTTTTAAAGTAAAAAAATCATATCATTTAATCAGTTTTTCTATCATCAGCTTGAAGTAATGTTAACTTTAAGATCTCAACATTAGATATTATGGTGGAGTGGATTGTTTTCCCATGAACATGCATTTACTTTTTGAATACAATACTAAGCAAATGTTTTCCCATGATGATATGTGAATTGACTCCTGTTCGAAATATCCTGGGTGACTTATTTGATTTTAAATTCCTATCAAAAAGTCTTTCATATAATTCAGATCTACATTTTAAATCTAGTTTCATTTAAAAAGCAGCACAGTATCTTCTAATATGGTGAAGAAAATTTATGAACTTTTTGATTGGAAATTTCCAGTACAAGAAGACAATAACGTTCAAAGGTGTTATGAGTAAATTAAAAATACCACTAATGTTTGAAAGAGAATGGTAATATAGGCGCTAGAAATGAATCATGGGCATGAGAGGGAAAGTATTGATTTCATCATCATGAGTAATAAGTGAGTAAGATTTAAAGCTTGTATTTAAAAGTTGACCACTTAATTTTGGCATTATTTTTTGTAATATAGGATTTTCCTGTCTCTAATACACACCCCTGTTTTGGATACATTGTATAAATAGAATCATATATTATTTGATCATCTGTGTCTACCTTATTTCACTTAGCATGTTTTCAAAGTTGCCCATGTTGTAGCATGTGTTGTCTTTCATTCCTTTTTATCGCAGTATGATGTTTCATCATATAGATATACTACATTTTATTTACCCACCAGCTTTGTTATTGTAGCCATTCTAGTGGGTATAAAGTGATATCTCATAATTTTGATTTGCATTCCCTAATGGCTAATGATATTGAACATTTTTTCATGAGCTTATTGTCATGCATATCTTCTTTGTAGAGATGACTATTCAAAACATTTGCCCATATTTATTCTCTGTAATGTTTAAATCATAATAGTTCTTTTTACAATCTAAATATAAATTGCTTACAAAAATAAATCTCTGGATTGTTTTGTTGTTGTTGTTATTGCTGTTGTTTCTTGAGACAAAGTCTCTTATGTAGTTCGGGATGGCCTTAAACTCTCTATGTAGCCTAAAGTGGTTTGAATTCCCTCCTGCTTCAGCCTTCCATCTGCTGAGATTATACGAATGTATAACGATGGCCACCATTGCTTTTTCAACCTCTTGCTTTCCCTCGAAACACAAAAGATAACTTTGATGATATCTAGTATATCTGTATTTTCTTTTGTTTCTGCTTTTGTTTTTACATGTAAGAAACTATTAAATTAAGTTCACAAGGAGTTACTCCTTTTTCTTCTAAGTGTTTTAAAGTTACTATGACTTTTATATTTTAAGTCTTTGATCCATTTTGAGTTAATTTTGATATACTTTTAAGGCAATAATTTGGCATGTAGCTATTTGTTTATTCTGATATCATTTGTTGAAAAGATTATTTAATTGTCTCTGCATGGAAATGTCATTTCTATTCTACTAGCCCTGGTAGTAATATTCCCTTGATCCTTTTGTTATTTTTCTTTCTCTGATTTCAACCATTGTCTTAGTCCATTTTCTACAGCTACAACAGAATATCTGAGACGGGATTATTTATAAAGATCAGAGATTCATATTTTAGGGTTCTCGAGGCTAAGAAATCTGATATCAAAGTGCTGGCCGGTGGAGAGGGCCCTCTTGCGGGATCATTCCATGGCAGATGTGGGAAGAGCAAAGGAAGACAAAAGAGCAAGAGGGAACTGAACTCAAGTTTTTAAAAAGACTACTCTCACAATAACAAAATGACATTAATCTTCTAATCACCTAATCGCCTCTTGGTAAGCTCCACCTCCCAACACTATTACATTGGGAATTAGCTTCCAACACATAACTTTGGAGGACATATTTAAAGCATAGCAATTATCATTCACCTGACTCTGAGTACCTGCCAGTCATATCTTACTTGTCTAAATTTAAACCTGGGTCTTTGATACAACTGAGTTCTATTGATGTTTGCATCCTGCCTTGAGTAGGAGTGGGTATGTTTACATATACATATTATATATATATATATATATTTATATTTGTATTTATATATTTTTTATATATTATATATATGTGTGTGTGTGTGTGTGTGTGTGTGTGTGTGTGTTTTCTGATATTGAGGATCTAACTCAAGACCTTGTGCTTGCAAGGCAGGCACAGTGCCACTGAGCTAAATCCTCGGCTCCTGATTACATATATTTTTATTTCCTCCAATTACTTGATAGCACAAGCCATCGTAATTCAAAAGGAAAGCAAGTGACATTTTTTTTTCCAATTCTTACACGGCATAGTTACTAGGAACATGACAAACACTTAATATTCATTACATTAGGACATAATTGGTAAAATTGAGGAAAATTTCATGGGGAAATTCAAGGAAAATGTCATAAAAATGTTTAAAAGTGGGTATACTGGAACGCCTAACCATTCATTAGAAAGCCCATTAGGAAAAAGGAAAAAATTATCCCTAGCACATCATTTAAGACTTTCTCAATGTTGGCACTTTTCATCCCCATTCAAGAATGTCCAATAAGAAGCTTTATTATAACCAGTTTCTTTAGTCCACAAAATATGCTCTTCTTATCATGCCAATTACCTCAAATATTCATTAAACAATTAGTATTATTTATTAAATGCCAGCCATTCCTACCTGGGAAGAGATCTTTTGTTCATTTCTGTATCTTTCTCAACAATATTGATCGCTGCTGAGCTTGGAATTTCCTCTTCTGTCCTTGTCTGTACTTTTCACTGCTTGCCTAGGACATCAGGTGTCGGTTATCTTGTTCTATTGTTGGCTATCCTTCATATGGGGCCTTGTAAACTATCACTCTGGTTCAGTGCATCATACACGTTATGGATTCAGTGTATACCTTGTCGACAATGATAAAAAGTGCTGCTTAGAAAAGTTCTCCTTGAACAATTCTTCTCCTTCTAAGCCCATCAGCAATGTAAGTTATAGGACCTGAAAGTTATTTTGTGATCTTGCTGACATCTGAATTCTACCATAGATCTGTGACAAGGTCATGTTGCTGGAACCAGAGTTCCCTGCCAGGGGCTGGCATACTGCACTTCTCACGCAGTGGAAGGTGAGACCTGAGAGCTTTGAAATCAAGAACATGCAGGTTAACACAATACTCAGCTTCAGTCAAGTTTCTGAGCCAATAAAACCCTGTGTGATTTTGAGTAATCGGGAAGAAATCTTTTGGGGTTTTCCCCCCAGAAATGAAAGAGTAGGATAAGCTTTCTATATGGATAAACTGATAGTAAAATCTGAGGAAAAATAAGCAATAGACCATATTATACAATGTTCTCTATATGAAAGACTGTTTTCATGTCCTGTGTAAATGACCTATGCTATCAACTTTGCTGATGTATTTTTAATGAGACACACATATAAATTACTCCATAGAAAACAGAAGAAATCCCTGGATTCCCTTCAGATAATTATTATTTGTAAGTAAAAACAATTTAATCTCATTTGAGGACCCATCAGAAATTACAAAGGTGATTGATATACTCAAATAATGTTATGCTGTTATGAACTGGTTCTGAATAAAAAGGAAAACTGTCTCTGGCTTTATATAAAATTGCACCTAAAATATCAATCAGAAAAACACCATTTTCTCCAATTTCTGTTTGCTAACTTTTAAAGTTTATTTTAAACATTATACACACACACACACACACACATATACATATATATTTTCTTACTGCACTTAGCATTTTATTTCAGATTCATGTTCATCAAGCCAGAAGAAATCTGTTTTATGCTGGGAGATCCTAGCTATTGGAAGAAATAAAAATGGCCAGCAAGGACAATCTTGATAAGGCTGCATTCATTTTTCACTTTTAGAAGACCATACTTTTAAACCATGACCATCACTGAAACATGCAAATGTCTTTGAGTCCTACTCTACACTGCAATATTTCATGAACACTAGAAATATGTTTTCTTTGTTCTAATCCTAGCCTCTGGATGACAGCCACGTAGACAGGCTCCTCATAAATATGCATTGACCGACTGACTGGGTATTAATGTAGGTCATCGCTGATTAGCAAATGCTACCTGCAGGAAGCCAGGGAAATACCACAAATGGAGATAAGATGTTATCAACAGATTTTTATTTCATTTTTTTCCTCAGGCTTGAGTTATAATCTCCTCTCTCTGGGGTCAAATTTCTCCCTATCTCTCCCCTCAGGATATGAAAGGAGATTAATTAGAAATCCTCCACATGAAGATCTCTTCCATTGATTCCCTGGAGGAAGAGGACAAAATGAGGGAAGAACCTAGTTAGTTCTAATTCAGTTTTTCCTATCTTGCCAGTTCAGCAACTCACCACAATCTACATTGACCCTTGCATTCTAATGTGAAAATGAATTCAGGAACAAATGAAAAATACTGTACGTGTTCTAATGACATATCAGCATAGTATAGACAGATGATTTAGGTAGAAATATTATAGACAGTCAGATAGGACTAGGTCCTGGAGAGGGTCAGAACAAAGGTGAAACACACCACAGTGGGGACGGGAGATACAATGGCTGAAAACCAGGACTCAAGATAAAAAGATTAACAGACCTATGTACTTTCTCAAAGACTGGGCCTAATGAAGTCTAACTAGACATCAACCACCCCAGTGGGTGCCCAGAGACCTCTGGACCCACCTCAAGAATCTCCTAGTAGAATCTTTGCTCTTTCCATCCACGCTTGTTATGTGACTTATTTTCTAATTGGACCACCATTACCTAACTGACTATACTTGCAACCTTATTGGGTGACCATGGCCTTGGCCCACGTTGTACTCACATGGGTTTCACCCTATAAACTCCTCTGTAAAGTGAAGTCCCCAGATACCCACTCAGGACCCCTCCTGCCCCTCAGGAGCTTTCCTATCAATAAATATCTACTTTTAACCTCCTTTGTTCCTAAAACTCATTCTTAAATTTTTAGAGAACAAGCACTTGACATATTTTATAGCTAACAGGTTGGGAAGATACATTTCTTATTCCAACTCCTGAAACAAGCAGAGATCTCATTATACAAAATAAAAGATAATGTTATGATATTCTCTAAGATATGGAGACTACAATTTAGTATCTTGGTGTAAGACTTAAAGTCTCACTTCCACTCCACGGAGCGTGAACAGCCAAAAAGGCCTCCACGATGCTGGGCCCTAACACCCAGCGAGCCTCTGGGAGCTCGATGGAGAAATGAGAAACCCAGGAAGGAACACACCAGGCTAGATGGTAAATAGACCTTTATTAGTCTGGCCAGACGGCACTCCCAGAGCCAGGTAGCTCAGAGAGGCAACTGCTCAGGGGCTGAGGTACTTTTTATAAGGTTTTTCTAAACAAAGAGTCAGGGAATTCACAGAACAAGACCGAAAACACATCGCTTATCTTATGTAGGAAATGTTCTACGGTCACCTTTAGTCATACCATTTGTCCCTGGGCGGGCAGTTAACCAAGGTAGCAATTAGCATATGAAGAAGCACAGTCTGGCCTATTAGCATGGAGTCACTTTAGCTTATTCAAGTCTTACATTAGTAATTTTTATACTGAAACACCATTCCCCTCTCCCAAGGAAACTTTCTGAGGGTTTTACTAAAAGCAAAAACCCCAAAGCAACAGGAGTCCTTTGTGAACCACCTGGGCCAACAGGTTAGTTTTATTGCAATTTCAGAGCATTAATCTGCAGAGGATGAACTAGTAAAATACACTGGGACCTCTCAGGAACACTTGTAGGCCAACCTAGAGGCGCCCAGTCCCCAGCCTCTCCAGAAGCATCAGCTCCCTTAACCTCAAGTCTCACAGCCTGTTGCTAGTGGGGAATGCGAGGAGCAAGTGTAGCTCAGGCTGAGTCCGGGTATAATTCCACTCAGGGGAGGAACTCGCAGCCCACTTCCCCAGCTCCGGGTGAACCTAACCCTGAACAGACACTTTGCTGTCACCCGCCCATCCAGACCCAACACTCATTTCAGAGGAGGGGAGGCTCCTTTGCGGTGGAAAGGCACAGGGTGGCGGGAGGTGACCAGCTTGCACGCAGCAGCCAGCGCAGCTCCTCACCCGGATCAGCGAGCTGGGAGTCTCTAGGGCCTCCTGGAGGGACCAGGAGATTGGACACCGCGAGGCGGAGAGAGAGCGCGGAAGGCTGGGGCGGTAGTGACCGGCTCTCCCCCCGAGGAGTGGTACGACCCGAAGGAGGGCGGA